CCATCTAAACCGATTTTACTGAGGACGAGATGAATAAATAAAAGTGTAACAAAATAGCCGATTCAATGTCTGCTATTTCCGCCGACGTCGTCGCCGCTAATGCTGATACGGCAGAAGTACGGCAAGACGACTTTTATCTCCATCGAAGGCGACGTACGTGGCGGTGTCAGTCCGTCTACGATGGCGTAGCAACAAGAGACTGACTCTGGACGAACGGCTTCCGCGGTCGCATGAAAAGTAGCACTTTACACAGCTAACGTCGTCCCATTAGCACCATTAATACGAATCGACCAATAGAGCAACGCTGCACAGTGCCGAACAATGTGATCAATCGGTAATAGACGATGGCTCTGAGTACCATCCATTGAACGTTGCCAGAGCCGAGTTCATTCATATAATCGCGAAGAAATAATGCGACACAATCCAAAAAATGGTGCCGGCGACAGCAACGGCTATGCCGTGGGGGCCGGGGGGCGGAGAAGGAGGCGCAGCAGCAGCAGCAGCGACGGTAGCAGGCAACAACTAGAAGTTTCCCGATATTCTTGCTGATGGAGATAACCCTGTGATGGGCCGGATCGTAGGTCTAAACTGAACATTAGGACATCGAGCGACTGAGGGCCGGTATAGTGAAGCCACATCGGCGAAATCCTCTCTATTTGCTGGTACTGCTACGCCTATAGTGTAGAAGAGATTGAGATTCGGTGAAGGGAAAGAGACGCTCCTTTCCCTTTGGGTGGTAAATGAATCGATCTTAGTGTGGAATGGCTAAAGCGAGCTAACCTATTTATTCGGTGACAATCGCAGTTAATCCTTTGTAGACTATAAGTAGGCTCGGTCATATGGCAACCCGCGTAAATGGTGCAAAGTCCCAGTAGGAACCTTTAATGAAAATACTTCACTCATGCTTGTTTTTAGTTTACTAGAAAAACATTATTTAGATAGGTCTTAAGTTACTTGTTGTTTCATTTGAACATGGCTCAACTTACTATTTAATTGTTTGGCCTTACATCATGGTACCGGAGCCTGATGCTTTGTGATTTTCTACTGTCGACCCAGACACTCTTTCACAGTGAACTCAACTTGCAGTCCCTATAAAGGAAAACTTGCCTTCAGTGAAACATGGGTAGCTATTGATTAATAACTACGTATCTGTAGTTTGTAGTGTGTTTTAGCAAAAAAATCTACCGACATGTATGTTGAAATTTCCACATGTTGGTAACGGATTGGCAGTGTAGCTTCCATATTAGAATTTGCCTATGATCCATTCTGATTCACAATGACGGTCGAATGCTCCAAAGATGAACTGTCGTAAAAGTTACACAACTGACAAACAAGAAGTTGAAACTGAATAAAATTATTCGATAAAAGCGCCGCCATTATTATTTCGTATCGTCCAAATTTCTTCTTTTATTCCTCATGTGATTATTCTGTAACAGTCTTGCATTACCTTTGAACCCCACAAGCAACGGATTTTCGCGCCTTCCTAGCAAATAGGTCAAAAACGCTATAACTAATTTCAGCCAAGTGAGTCATAATCATTACTAGGCTCTCATATTCAGCACTCAAGAAAAATCAACGATTCCTCTTCTACTTTTCTTTTTTAGTTCATGTTATAGCTGCAGACTTTTCCTCATTTCACCTCAATGACAGCAGCCCCTTAATGCCTCCCTCCCTTCGAAAATAGCCCGTCGTTTCTGTTTGGTGTTGCTCGACATCGACGTCACCTGCGCGATACGACTCGTTTAGTTAATTCAGCATCATCTTCCGGTTTGAGTGATTTCATCCAATGAAAGTTTCGACATACCTTCGAGGCACAACTAAAGAAGAAACGCATTGGCGAAGATCTGGCTCACCAGTTTCAAACATCAGGACCAGACTGAGACCACGTTAGGCGCATGCTTGCTTGAAGATCGGAGTTGCTACAGCTTGTTCCCAGGGCTATTTTGGCTTCTCGTTCGAAAACATCCCTTCGTATAATAATGTTTAAGTACACTTCGTTCGAGTTTGTGCTATCTCGAATGATCCATAGAACCATGGCCTGGTAGCTGTTAGATACAACTCTTCCGTTAGAAAAAAAAAAAAAAAAGGGTTGCCTGCTTTTTCTGCAATTAGATAGATTCTATTATTAACAACTGGCCTTTCTTGTTGGCAGTTCGTACGCATCTTGCTATGACCCAATATACACCACACTTCCAGTGTCGCATCCCCACACATAGGTTGAAACTTGTTATGCCATTTCCGCATAACATGTATGATACTATAGGACTAGCTATAATCTCTCCTAATAAGCAAGAGAACAGTGACCATATCGTGTTGCTGCTAGTCAGTGGTATTATATAATATCTGTCTTTAAATTCTCGGTCATTATTACAGCGATTACGGTCCAATTTTATCCAGATATATTCTTAATAACGTCAAAAATATGCTAAATGAATAGCTGCCAATCGACAGACGCAAACAATTTTTGATACGCGTCGTGTCAAAACGATCTCGCGGCAGCCGTAAGGCCAAACTGACAACAAGGACAAACAATACAACAGCCATTAACGCCGAACTAAACAACTTCCCTAATCAAATACTTCGGGTAATTCATTATTCTTCATCGCCCTAAGTAGCGATGCTAACTTTACGCTATATTTGTTATGAGATCGCCACCTTGCTGAATCCCACGTCAACGTCCATAGACGTTTCACCTGTGGCCTAAAAGTCAACTCTATTATAGCTACTTGGTCGTATTTCGTTCACGAAGTTCCACGGCGCGAAACGAGGAAATCAGGTTTTCTCAACGTGACAACCCACCCTCTGCTGAATATAATTATCGCTGTGGTTACGCGGTCGCCTATATTTTGGTAAACTCATGCCCCACAGCACTTAGGCGTCTCGATTTAGCATTACAGATACTTTATATCGCATATTTACCTCAATGATTATCTTACATGAAAAATGGCAGAAGTATAAACGCATACTGGGCGGGCCTGTGTCAGGTGTGACGAAATCAAAGTAGAAAATATAACATAGTTGACAGAAGACCAAATAACGAAGATACTTTATGATTTACTAGATACTGATGTCTACGATTTGGGTCTGCTTCGGGGTGCGCATCCACCGAGCGACAGCATCCATGAACGAGGATGCCGAAGAATGCTGGTATCATCGTGTATAACATATAATGCTCCTAAATGAATAACCCAGTGAACTTGGATCGACCGTTCTAGGAACTGTCCTATCAGCCTGAGGCAGGCTCGTGAAGCCGTCATTTGTAGAACATAGAATAGCATATAAAGCTTACGAATGGCAGGTTATTATATATGTACATGTATATACTTGGAATGTTACCTGTCGATGATGAATGAATGAGTTTGATCGATTGATAAATGAGAAAGCGGTCTTTCGAATATGTGTGTTTACCACGCCGGCGACACAAAATCAAGGAGCTGGCGTTCTATCTACTCTAATAAACAAATTAGGATAGCACCTCTTAGGCGCTGCTTTTAAGCATTTTAACAACTGTCGCCGACATCTGTACTTTGCTAGGTAAGATAAACACGCTGATATCGACGGAATTTAGTGGAGGTGGTAAGGAGATGAAAACCGAGCTTAGGGTACTTCAAAGATAGTGTGTGCCTAGTAAAAAAAAAAAACACAGTAGGACATCATCGGTTAATATTGAAAATGCTAACGTTGTAAAGAATGCGTATTAGTAACTAAGTTTAACTTTAAGTACACATCTATATGAAAACCGTTGTCAAAGGTCTGATCAACTGATACAGTTATCCCGTGCGAAACGGTTAATGTATACATTCTTAGACTCGGCTCCATCTATGTTAATTTTCGTAAGTTATAGCTTACTTTTATGGAAACTAGTAGTTCTATCTGCGATCTGTGCCCACAGGGCTAAGCGACGGATATTAGTGCAGCTTAAGATTCGCGATTGGTAAATTTAGTTGTTCGATTGGGTAACGTTGCCTAGGACTTGTTACAGCATAATGTCTCATCGACAACTACGACGAAGCCGTATTTGAAGCGTAAGAAGGAACTGAAAGGGTGGCGCCGAATACTGACAGCGCCGGCTTATAGAGCTAAATGACGCTCCTCCGAAGCTCCGGAGTTCCGCAAGAGATGTTCTCCAGAGTCACGCAGACATCTGTGAAATATCGCCCAACCCACCTACGGTTTTGGGTGGTTGGCGCATCTTCCGGTAACAGTAGCAGACGTCCGCTCTGACGAATAGATATGGAGAGGAATAAATATTAAAAACAGAACCTGTGATTCACCTATTTTTTTTTTTCTGAAACGAGAGCAAACCTGTAAATGAGACGCCGCAGGGACGTAACAGCGAACGGAAACACTTCCCCCACCAATTGTGCTCGCCTGTAAAACACATGGACCAGATCGGCTCACATTGACGACTGATGGCACAGGCCAAACGACTAGCGCCTAGATAACTCAGTTAGCTATTTACTATATAATTGCAGGTTGATACGTATCCTTAGGTCGCTTAATTGACAGCGGTGTTGCCAGTGTGAACAACAAAGGATCCACAAAAGATAACTAAATTTGAAAAAATCACGCATTTTATGAAGATGACAAGAGATATTTTGTATCTAGCTAGGACGCCCTATTGTTGATAATGGACCTGTTTCATAAATCAATAAAAAATGTAACAGACTTTTGCGTTCATTGACGCCGTTATCTTTTTACGACGCCTCAGTAGATAACCCATTATTCTTACTAATATTACTATTAAATAACAGTGATCGAGGCCTTTCCAACATTTTAAGAGACAGATGTGCGAAGCCGATAATCTTATGGCAACGATGCCGACGATATACTGACAAATGAAATAGAGTATTTTTGTAATAAATACGTTTATCGAAACACTGTTTATGTATAAATGCAATATTGTCCGTAGATTACTTATATAATTCCACTAATGTAAAGAGAAATTCGATAAGCTCTTCAGGACTGCAGAGGACTCAGTTCTTCGACGAGGTAAAGGTACATATTATCCTCTTCGACCGTTTTTCTGAGAGGCGGAATAAATTCTAATAGGCTTCAATGCGCGTTCCGTCCTCGATGCATTTTTATTACTGGATGACGCCACATAGACGCGGCGGGCTTAGTATCTATTCCTTGAGGTAGAAGGAACATTCGTCTGTTAATAACAGCCAGTAGTGCATCCTCACGCAAATGGCGCTTGAGGTTACGCATTGCGGTGCGCCGCTTTCCTGCTGTTACTGGGCTATATCAGATACAATTACAGATAGTTTTTGCATTATAGTAAATAAATTTGTTTTTTTGTTGTGTTTCTTCGCGCTGAAGGTGTAAAGCCAGCATCGACTTTTGCTGATGGGTGACGACGGGGAATCAGTCGGTGGGAAGGGGCTTCTCTGGCCGCACTTCATAGAGAAGTAAAGAAACCGCGGCGACAATCAATCGACCATTGAATTGTTTTTGAATCTGTTCGTGAACTCGACCGCGCGGCCATTCGCTGAAGATTTTCTGCTTGCGTTATCATCAATATCGAAAGGAAAACGACACATAGCGTGAACTGTAACAGCAGATAGAGATAATAATGAATATACGTTCGCCACTTATATGATACATTCTTTCGACCAATGCTCGCTTTAGCCGATGAGTGGAACATAAATCGTCGGCGGCTGATCCCATCGAAACAAAACATACCTTTATGGAATCGTTGTATTATTAATTGAATTTTAATGAGTTAAATAAACAAGTATCTACAAAGCTTTAATTGGGAAGGGGGCAAAAGCACTGTGCTTGTAGATGCGGCGAAAATGCATTCTCAGAACGAACAACGCACCGGTGTCGATAAAATTGGTCAGCTTATTCGAGTATGGCTTCTGTACATATCGGGATCCCGCTGACCTTAGCTTAGGCCATGTATATGACCTAGTTCATAAGCGATGTCTTCTATGTTTGCCTTTTGCGTAAAGATTGATTTTGTAATATATTCATGAAAGTGTTTTTACCCTGCACGCCACGAAAAAACCTTATGATTATGACATTTATGGTAAGAACATCTGGAATGATCAATAGATATTTCTCGCTGTTTTTATTATTTAATTCAACATTTTTTGTAATCTTTTTCTGTTCGGATTCCAAGAAGCGCTGGCTTCGCTCGCATCGATTACACAGTGATAAGAATAATTCCCGATCAGAAAATTGCCCAGATCAAGCTACAGCCATAAAATCATACAGCGGATCCCATCCAAAATGCTCACGTTATAATGATGTTCTAGAGAATATTAAAACGATTAGATGCCGCCATGTCAGGTTTGTGTACTGGCCTCGTGTACGACACCATCAACGAAATGGTACTAGTTTGCCTCACGATGATACTTTTTAAAATTGATTTCGTATAAGAACCGAAAATCGAAGTAACTAACAATCGATCCATTATTACTTTCTCTCGTTTTTTCTCCGTTAAGTTGAAGTTTTCTTGTCGATCAAACACTGCTTCGTTGATTTCAAGCCGGTCGAAACAACCGAGACGTACAGCCGGGTTCCTAAATACGTACCACAGTTGAGTATCGGCGGTATTGTCACCTACGTTGCCACCGAGATCTGGGAAGCGGACCCAAGTCAGTGTACCCATTGATGGCCGGCAGAACATAAGGCTAGATGGACATGTACAACCGGAACAACATTGAGAGGTGCAAAATATAAAACAAGAAGACTTACACTTCGCAATTAAGTTGGCTTCCTATCACTAAAATGGCACCCAACGATAAAGTTTGCTATGCCAAGGCGATCAGAAAGAGGTATTTCCCAAAGCTTTCCAAGAGGCAGGTTCCAAAAGCTTGAAAAAACTATCTCAAGTCTATGCATCTAAGGTTCGGTGACTATCTTGGTCAGAGGCGACTTACTATCGGACAAATCATAGATAGAACATGCAGGTAGACCGCAGAGTACGACGGAGTCTAGTTTCGTGAAGGTTTCCTCGAAAGAAACCGCATCTAACGGATTTTCAATGTGTTATGTGCACTAGAACTACTAATGACGAGGCCTCGACAAAGGGAGTTAGTTCCCAACACAACTAGGATACTTAACTGCTTGCCGATTTTGCCTACGATTAAGTGGAATGATATATCGAAATTATTATGGAGGCGTTTTTTTTTTTTGCTAAAATTACTGCGCAGGCTTCATCCGCTGCGCTTCACAGTCGATGCGTTAAACAGGATTATGTGCCTGTCAAGAAGGTCGTTCTTCGTTCTAGTGAACGAGGCGTCTGGCAACAAAGGAACACTGCTTTATCAGCAGGCGTTAACAAGTTTAACATCTACCGGATGTACAACGATTTTGAACAGATCGGAAAATGGCTAATATACTTTAAGTTAATAGACTGTGACTAAAATGAACAGAGATAATTATAGCACGGTAGCTAGAATCTTACTCGTTTTTAATCTGTGTCGTCACTGTAACAGCTAACAAATTTGTGACGTTGCCAACTTTGTTACTAATTTTTAATTAAATTTGGTAATGGAAGCATCCATTAGAAAAGCGTAACTCCATCGGTTTGCTTCTAAGCTTCAAGGTGCGCGACGTGGATCTATGCGGCGAGAGATTCCCTATCCAGCCATACGATCGAGCGTTTTAAAGTTTAGTGAAATTTTGATAAAAAAAAATTCACAAAATACAATCTGATTATGATAAAAGCGCAAATTCTATCGAGGTTCATAGAAGAATTGTCCTATTCAACATACGTTATTGAAAGGAACGGCCTAAAGGTGGTTTCGTTCTATGCGAAAGATGCTCTTCGCAGAAGAAGTCGTCGCGAAGACTGAGCAAGACTGACACGCCATCGTATCGCCAAAGGACTAAGCGTCTGTCACTAAATAGTTTCAAACCATTTGAAAACGTTGTTAACAAAAAATAAACTCGATGTTTATCCGCCGCACGAATTGACCTACAACAATTTTCTCAATCATACTTCTATTTGCCAAACTCTATAAGAAACGTAACGAATTTGAGCTACTTCCAAAGTGGCTAACCACGAATGATGTATAAACACGGTCCCGCAATCTGCGACCAATACGCGAGCTGACGTCAAATAACGTATTTGCTACTATTGGAAAGCAATAGCGTATTACAAATTTGTGCCGCTCGACAGAAAAATTGAGGCGGACTTATAAGAAGCCATTGAAAAAAATCGTTCGAAAAAACTAGTGGTCGTCTTCCACTGTGATAATGCTAGAATACCTACATACTTATCTATTTGGTAAGAATTTGGCTAGAAATCATTTCAACCCATTTGCCATGTAGGCGGGATTTCGCAGAGCTCTCTTAATTTACCTTCAGTAAACGAATGGAAAAATTACGTATCATACTTTTTCACTCAGAAGCCACGAAAAGTTCTACCGTAATGGAGTTATAGCGTTAGCAGAAAAACGACAAAAAATACCGTATATCTAATTTAGTGTTGCTTATTTACTATATAAAATGAGAAACTTTGCTTCACTTTTGGTTTAACTACAATTAGACGGCCAAATATACAAAATTATACTAATTTAAGCTTTATAGCTTGAGTGTATCGACGCCTTTGAGCATCTCTAGCCGACGCTTTATGATGCAAAGATAGAAACTTCCGCGTGCTGAATTTAGTCCAGGCCGGCAAAAAAATCCACTGACCTTATTGTTAATCAAAACTAATAATAAATACATTGAACGACCGATCGGCTTAAAACATATGGACGGCCAATATAATTTCGAAGAGATCGGCACTTGGGATTAAGTCATGGTTCGTAGTTGCACACGCAAACAGCGAGCCATAGACGCGCGCACAAATTCACCAATACCGACGAGATCTTTCCTAGCAACGAATAACCCCAAATATGTTGTTATCAAGTGTTGTACCCCAAAAAATCTATTGACAAATAGTGTGTTCACACGCGAGCCAAATAGATATCGCACAGCAACCAATCGGGCCGCATCAACTATGGCCTGATATACCCAATATACTGGGAATAGCTGGAGCAGCGAGCACTGAAATGAACCCAACGCGTCTGCCATATACACGACCTATGGCCGTATGCTCGGCTCTGACATGCACGCTCTCACCGTACTGCGTCTCTCACAGAATTTCAAATCGATTCGAAATTATTCTGCATTGATCTCGAACAGTCATTTTTACAGATCTAGAAGAATGGCGGCGGAATCTATGTCGGAATCTACCGAAATGCCGGAAAATGTAGCAGTCGTTCAATTTACGAAAGTAACGTTTGCAGTTGAAGTTCTAGCAGACACAGTTTAAAATGTTCTGATATAACAGGGTATACACCGACTATGAATAAGCTTTCGTACAGCTCCCAGTTTGTGTTCAGAATCGCGAAAACAGATGATTGATTTGCGTTAGACGTGAAATGTAATTATCCACGAGCCTTGTTCTTATCTGTGCGCTAGGGAAGCAAATCATGTTTCATAGAGAGTTCTTATGTTGCGGGGATTCCGGGTGTCGATAGTGCTAGCTTCCGGGTAGTGTAGCCTATATTAAAAGGGCAATATTTCTTCTCTTCAAAATGGAATTATTGAAAAAGTTACCTTGCGACCGCTCACCGGTCCAGCGAAACCTAGTTACCTCGAAATTTTCAGCTACAACGAAATGCGGAGAGGCCACTGACACATCCATTTCAATATTACTCCGTCCATCCATCGGATACACTGTTAGGGTGCAATAGCATCCAATCACGAAAAATCGTCATGTTTTTCTCTCAAAAACTAATGGTTGGTCTAGTTGAAGATGTTTTAGGTAACATTGTCTTTCTACGGAATTCTTCCAACTATAATTGTTAGTGCTCCCATCCTTCTTAAGCGACATATAGTCATTTCGCCGCTTTCGTGGTAAAGATTACTTCCATTCAGTCAGTCAATCAGTGATTTAGCCACATATTGATCTTGAGCTCGGCAGGCGTTCCCGACACCTGTACATTTACCAGCAACCGTTCGTACATCCGTACCAAAGTGTCAGCTCACTCTATTGGCTCTTTAATTTTGCCGAATAATTCGATTGGACTTTAATACAAATTTAACAACTACTACCCCAGCGGAAAGGCGGGCAACAAGATAAATGTAAAAAGTTATGGCGCCGGCCAGGCTAACAGCCTGTTCTGCTCTCTCTTCATTAATCTCAATGTAAAATTTGCAATACAGATAAAGCGTAGATATATTTTAGCTGTTTTTCTTCGGCACACGGTTGTCATAGAAGAAACACGGGACGGCCAGAGGGCGGGCGAAGTTTCCGTTTGACTCAGCAAAAATCGAAGGTGCTGTAGTCCTGGGTGGGGAAACGGAAGGGTCCAGGTGAAATGTAAAAATCGATGACCGTATTCGCACGCCCCAACCATTTTACCAATGCTGAGCATAGCGTCAAGTAGCTTCGGCTTCCGTTGTGGCTGCAGGCAATAATACGGCGGCGAGTACGACGACAACGGGAAACAGCTACCGTCCGAAGACGAGAAACAAATCGCACGTGGGCCGTAGAGCGTCCGCGCTAATCGCGTGAAGGATTGGTGTCTCGAAGAGGTAGCTGACATATAGTCGCAGACGTGAATGTTGAAAAACCGTAATTTTCTAAGAATCTATGTGCCTGTGAGGTTTGCGCGTGATGTATATGAGCGTTGAGGTCGTTCATTTGCCCTCGATTCGCACTCATCATATCTGGAAATTTATCGTAAATATCTCACTTAACTGTGTACAATACGCCAAGTCAGACAGGGACGCCCATCGATCAAATACTACCCCAAAAAAAAAAGAAAATGAGACAGAGTGACCGCGTTAAATAGAGCTATAGCAGCAACAGTAATAACACCCAGAGATTTGCCGTCATCTGGTGGCTGCCTTCATAGGAGAAGTGTTCGTATCCAGTTACGTTTTAGATGGACAAACCCTCTACACGTACATAGATCTTCACATCGCATTAACAAAAAAAAATTAAAGCAAACAACATAGGCCAAATAAAAACATCCCGGAGCGAAACCCCCCGATGGGAACGGCGCGCTGAACGGGCGCATTAGCAGAGAACGCTCTGAAGTACGCGTTCTTTCATCCCGCACAAGTTCACAATAAATCGAAATATAAAGGAAAAACAATAACAACGATAAAATCGTATGTATTTCGGTCTTTGCACCCGTATAACTACTCCAGTACAAAAAAAAAAAAACTATAGTAGCAGTATCAAGCATCGGCCGCAACAAAGAATTTTCATTGGCTGGAATTAGATTACAGTGTGAATAAGCAGTGGTGCTGTCCAGCCGGGGAACCGCAGAACATTGTCAGCGAATATAAAGCTGGCATGGGTCTGCTCCAATCAACGATCACCCGACCCTGGCAAACCGGGAAACCCAAAAGAAATACTAGGACACGATGACCCAGTTCTAGTCCATGGGTTTTGCAGCGGATAAAGCCAAGCAACATTACAACAAGACACAGACACAGACACACACACACACACACACACACACGTTGATGACGTGCCCATTAAGTTAATTCCTTCCAATGGGGAAAGAACGAACTACTGTATAGAGATATAAACGATGCGTTTACCCATTGAATAGTCCATGGCCGTTTAAACTATGTGAAGTAGAACTGTTGTAACCTCGAGATAAAAGAAATCGAAGCCCGAATTGAAGCGAAAAAGATAAGAGCGAAGTTATTCGATGCTATGCCATCGTCATGGCACTTGACAATTTAATGGTGACCGAGAACATCAGCGTTTCAATTCGAAGAAATACGATTATTTTTTTAGCAGACGTTGCGTCCGACATCTACGCAGCCTGGCGTGGCCCCCGCCCAGGATACTGGCCCGACGTGGAGGCAAACACTTCGCGCATTTCGATTCAGATTATAAATGAAGAAGCACATGAGAATGAATAGAAAAAAAATCACTGGGGTTCCGCTTTCCTTCTGACACGAATCCCTTGCAAGTGTATAGTATCGCATATAATTAGTGAATTTTCCGATTTAATTTTTCTGGAAAACGGCCTTATCGCTACTAACTGGTGCGTCTTCTCTACGTGTAATACGAAGGCTAGCAGAGAAGCTACCTATGGTCAAAATAATCGGAAATATAAACGTATACGCGTGGTAGTTCGTCGTTGCGTAAACCGTCTCGGGAGAAAATTTCCGAGTCATCAAAAAAATTACGTTTAACAGCGAAAACATTTATAATCGGACTAACTCATGCTCGTTAACGCTGAACTTAATCAATTCGGTACCGATCGCTTCAAGTTTGAAAAGCCCTCTCCGTGAGGGCTGAAATTAGACTGCCTGTCTATTTCCGAAATAATGATAGCAGCTTCCCTGTACTTAGGATACTAGACCATATAATTGTAGTAGCGGAGGCATCGCTACCTGCTCCACGATATTTTTACTACCTCGTAAAGCCTGCAGCATTGCGCTACCGAGCAGAGGATCAATCGGTGGTATAAAAACGGACTAGGCAGGTTTCTTTTTGCTTGCTTTCCTTGACAGTCTCAAAGGACGCATCAAAAGTACCAAGTGACCTACCCGTTGCATCGCCTGGTTTGAACGGAGCTTTTCGAAGTCACGTAAGTGGCCAGTCTGGCTGGACATAGCACTGCTACATAGACAATAGAACATCAATTGAACACTTTAAAGGGACAGATTATGTCTCTTTTATTAAGAAACCCACTGATGTCCTCTATGATCTCAAGCATATATTGATTCTATTTTATTTTTCCTATCATAGTAGCTACCGTTGATAGCATACTATGCACGTATGAAAGACCAGACACATAATTATCTATAAATAAATGCATGTTGTTGCCGTCCTATTTTTAATACCCAATCCAAAGGTTGATCAAGAGCCTCGACAACGAAAAAAGACAAAAAATGTCATGGACAAACGTGGTTGAATGGCTAAAAGACAACCAGGCGTTCTTCAATCCGCCAATATGCAATAAGCAAATGCACGATGACGGAGTTCTCAGCGTATTCTTTGTTGGCGGTCCCAACCAAAGGGAAGACTATCACGTCGAACGAGGTAACTGCACTGATTTGCTTAGGCCGTCCGTATGAATGAAAACCCGTTTCGCCATATTTTCCATCTTATGCCTCGTCCTACATCGCAAATTTGTTTATTTGAAAATACAAGTGTCGTTGCTGGTCAAGGTGTAACTATCAGTTTTTACATACGAACCGTGTTCTAATTATTTTATCAACGCTTAGACGGTCTACTGCAGAACACGTTCGGGGAACATCTCAGCAAGCGATTTTTGCTAGCAACGGCCTTGAACAGGTATAAAAATCATACACCTATTGCATTGAAACACGTGCGTCATGATCGATAACCAACCATAGAGAACGTATTTTATAGCGGTAGTTTTCCGTAATCAGCAAAAGTGTCTATTGACGACAACAGCTCCATCTGGTGGCACCTAACAAGACGAAGAAGCTTGTGCAGGCAGCGGTGGCGATTCAGCAGCATTCAGTTAATGATCGGCTTCAGGTTCGTTACGCGAGAATTTGCCGAATCTGTTTTATGGTGATGAGCTGTTGCTACCTATCATTCACCGCCAAATTAGCCTCCACAGGCGAACCGAAACTACGGAAGGCACGACTTCAATGCGCAAGCGTACGACCAAACAACATAGTTTTCCTTTCCGTTCCTATACTGGACTCCCACAAGAAACACCCATTATAGAATACCGATGTCTATCGATGCTGATCATCATTTGCTGCCACGAAGACCATATGCGAACCTCGTCGGCAGGAGACTAAGCGTTAACGAGCAGCGAAAACACATGCATCAAAGCTCATTTGTTATAGTACGGGATACTATAATTATTTGTAAAGTTCTATGCGAAAAAAGCTTCCACTGTCTACATACGAGCGCGTTTCCGTAGCAGACCAATAATGAACGACTAAAATCTGCTGGTGCCATCCCACCCAGTGAATTTCTGTGTCTTCCGCTGACGCTTGATGTTATAGGGTCATAGTTAATCCGTCAACCTGTTCACATTTCAGATAAATAATGCTCACTCTATTTGACGTTGCTACCCGTTAGAATTGTTATCGCGCCTGTATCAAGCAGCTGATCAATGTTACCCCTTGAGCTCACCTTCGGACGGACGGACGAACGAACGAACGAACGACAAGACGTATAGATTTACGAACGCAGTTTTTTTTTTTTTTTTTGTTGTTACTTCTATTGCTACTCCTGCTGCCGGCACGGCGTTTCACATCAGTGTCTTGTTTATGGAGATTTCAGCACGGACGATCGCGCGTCTTCGTTTTTTTGCAATTTTTTACCACCCAGCCAATACTGCTATCGCGACGTTTTCAAATTATTGCCGCCTCTCAACGTCCCTAATTTTTCGTTACGTTTCTTTCGTATTTAGTTAATTTGCATTCTAGTCCTTTCCGATAATGTTCCGACGAATAGCGGACAGAGTCACCCTTTGATTCGGGTTAGCATCTTTCCATGCATTCTGCCTCTTTCCGTTTTTCCGTCCAGATTTCTATAGCTATGAGATGATACACCGTCGACAAATTATCACTACGTAAGGCCAAAGGCCCACACTGACACACATAGCCAATCAGGAGTGTATTTTCTGTACATAAGAATTCAGAAGACGTGTACTGTGTTGCCGTGAACTAAGATACTGTAGTTACTGTGCCTCGTCTAACTTTGGAATAAATTGTAAAATGCAAACATGGCGGTCCACCAGCGACCCAATGGTTACGACCTGCCTAAATGTCTGAGCAGATATGCCACTGCCGGCGGTGCTGGTCAAATTCAATGTAATAGGTAATAAGCGTTGCCTGATTCACTGGTGAGACTTATGGCGATGTTTACCACAATATGTTGTGGCTGTTGTTGTTATTATTATTGTAGTTATTACAATGTTTTTATTATCTAAATTTTTTAGCATGATCTTATTTTTCCAGTTCCCCGTTCTTCTCAGTAATTGTGCGCACCTCAACAAAATGATGGGAAAGACAATTCGAGTTAAATGAAGAGTTATCGCAGAAAGGTTGAAGGTCTCTAGGCTTCGGCAGCGATTAACTTCTGCGCTATCGTAGCCCAGTTACAACCGTGCATAACCATAATGAACTAATAAACTATGACAAAAGAAATGAAAAACTTGTAGCGAAGCATGCGTAAAGCTACAGTATCTGTGATAGGTTAGGTATAGCTTCACGCTAATTTGCATGCGCTATGTTGGTCGGAATTAGTAGGAAAGAAGATGTTATTGAATGGAAATAATTTTCATCTCTGTATCAAGAAAGCTAACGTTTTCTTAAAATTTTCGCTGACTGCGGGCAATATATCCGACTTTTGTTTATGCAAAAGATATTCGAATCTTAAGGAAACAAGTTAGAAGAAAATGAAATCCGTGGTCTTGGACTAGTTGAGGAACTGAGGATTTGCAGCGGAATTGAACATCGTCGATTTTACAATGAGCACCCTTTGCTTTGGTGTACCTCTCACAAGGATCTATGCGTTTGTTATGAGCTTCTAATCGGCCGATTCGGACATTGCTTTTCAAGTCTGGAGAATTATCACGAAAATGTTAGGTAATATCAGAAAGTCCTAAAACGTTAGCTAGATAACATACGACGGCAAATTACTTCCACTATGTTTACGCTTTGTATGTTGTATCAACTTCAAGGAGAGGAACTGTTTTACCAATTAAAGGGAGACATGATACTCAAGGTTCGCGAACAAAACCGTTTTAAGGACATACACATTCGCGAGGGTGAGATATTTCTTTTGCCAGGAAAGATACCCCACTCTCCGCAAAGGTTTAGCGACACAATTGGGCTGGTTATTGAGAGAAGAAGACTCAAGGACGTCGAATATGACTGCCTAAGGTTAGTGGAGCCTATCTTCGTGACGGTGCAGAAGTAACGTGTTTGCCTAGTAAACTTTGGGACATTTAAGAGAGGTAGGTACAGCATCAAGCGTTAGAAAGGACTAGCTATTTGAAATCGTGTTTCACTAAGCAGCGCGAGGCAAAAAACCTGCAACATTTATTTTAAGCAAGCGGTGCCTTGCGATAACGGGCAGGCAAAGTAGTGAGCCCATTGCTGGCGAATTTGCGGTTGTATGCATATACCCTTCATACCTGTCAAAAAATGCACTGCCGCGCAAGTAAATTTCGATAATCTAGATGCGGCAAATCTTGTTTTTCTGGGTTTGATAACGATTCTTCTATTCAGTCAGGGCTAAAAGACAGGGTTTTAATTTGTATTATTATAGTAATTCCTATATATAAGCTTGTTACTTATTTTGTTGGCCGATGTTAGCCGATTCTCTTATAATTTCGGTTTTCCTTGAGGTAATACGCTATTATGTTTAATGACACCTGAACACAGGTACTACGTAAAACCAGGTGAAGACCCAGAGGTCCTTTTTGAGAGGTGGTTCCACGTAACGGCTCTGGGCACCCAGCTCGTTTCTGTCATCAATGAGTTCATGGAATCGGAGGAACGAAAAACCGGAATACCCGGTCGGAAGTCTCGTCTTTGTGAACCCTACTTTGAGGACGACACCTCATTTCAGCTCGATACGCCAAAAAGCATCGCGAAGTTCATTTCGGTACAAAACCTATTAAATTTAGTAGAATAGGTATATGTTACATATCATAGTGATAGACCTGCAACAAACTATTTGTACTAACTAGCTAGGATCCTGAAAAAGCTAAATAGCTAATTTAATAGTAAATTTTAATATTTTTGACAGTTATTTGGTTGTTACAATTGAAGTAGCCACTCCTGAAGTACTATTGCTGAGATCGATTGTTCCGTGTCGTTGATCGCATCGATTTGTGCATATTAACTTCCTCGATACCTCGATACCGTTTGATCGATACCTTCAGGATAATGCACGTATATTGGGGGCACCTGGAGGCAACGTACTGGTCTATCCAACGTCGAAATATAAATTCCATGTCGAAGTTCTCGGCGACGGCAGCCATTGCAGAGAAGCGCCCAAAAACGGGGAAGCGTTCCTCTACCAACTGTCAGGTACTAAATGCAGCTTAATTTGCTCCAAAGTTAACTGGACAACCAGCATTTGTGAAGTTCTTGAGATGGTGAAAAAACTCCACTAAAATTTCTTTATAGATAGGACACAATGAACCTCAGTAGCTTTTCGATGCAGCAAGAAACCATCAAACTATTGCATCTCTGAGTTAAAACTTGTCGCATATACAGATATGTTTGTTGCACAATGCGTTCCCAGGGAATGGATTATGCGAACACTCCATAGGCGAGAACATGATGTCCCAACAAAGCACTCTGCTCTTACAAGCGGCATCGTTCTGCAAAATCACTAATGAACCTTGTGCCAGAACCCTGTTTGTCCTTGTTAATATGCCTGAAACTGTGTTATTTCCGGCTTAATACGAGATCTTCGCATGAGATAACATGTAAGGTATATTCTTCGACAGCAAGATAATGGCAGCAAGATAGAATTCTAGTTTACCGTCTGATTCTAACAGATGAATGTGCCCAAATAGCAAGAGAAAATTCTGCGAAGGGAACATTGTCTTATTTACGCTTGAGCAAGTGAAATAAAATTGAAAAAAATTGTGCCATGATCTTAATGCACCGAGATCATTATGTATTCCGCCATTGCCTATTGTATCAGACTGAAACGTAATCTGCTCTTTTTTCTACCTTACTAGTCATATCATAGATATATTTTTTTCAATATTAATACGGTACAGGCATACAGGACTGTGACGGAATCATCAGCAATTACAGCAACCTATAATACAAATAAATCGAAAATTGTGGTGACGATCCAATCACGTAGAATTTCGCCAGTCTAAAAGGTTTCCATGATTGATAACATTCACGTTGGGCCCGCTAAGGCTTTCTCTAATCTTCAACTGAAGTTCCCCACAAAAGGTTCCCCACCTCAGACGCAGAAGTGAATTTGAAGGTGCTGACTGGTTCCATTTCAAAAGCCATCCCTATAACAATTATAACTTAGATTACATATCCTCATAAAACATAAATAAATAATAAAAACATTTTAGAAAAAGCTGATATGACAGAGGGGCTCAAAAAACCCCAATTACATTTAATTCAATTCGCATACACGAGCTCAAAGGCTTGGAGAGACTAAAGCTACGCATGACAGTCCCTTTTAACATATCTAACATATGATAATAACAAATCGGCATCTATACAAAATTATTGCACGCCATGCCTGATAAACCTGATGGAACAGATTAAGCGCGGTAAGGAGTTCCAAATACATCTGGTTTGGTAGTTCAGGGAATTCAGTATACAACTTCTGCGCTCTGCTGATTAAGCCAGCGACGTTTCTAAAAGGATTTCTAGAAGACTGACGGTTGTGGAAATCTGATTTTTTGCTTTGGTGTATGACAAAGGCGTACATTGATTTGCGTATCAGACAACGGATCCGTTGTATATATATATATATATAATCATAAAACATGCTCATTAAAAGGGATTGGCGAATAGACCTATATAGACCCAACATAGTTTGAGTGGCTCTACGCTCAACCGTTGGTACCATATTTAAATGCTGAGCCTCTATATAGAGTATATAATTATCGATTTAAAAAGGTGCAGAAGCACGTATTAAGGAAATGTTTACCCTGATAATTAGATAAGATAGCAGTGCAAACATAGCATTTTGGGCATACTTCTAGGGAAAAATGAAACTGTTTTTCTCCAAATTTTAAGGTTTATAGATGAGCTGCAGTAACCGTTTTAACAAGGTTGATTAAGTTGTTCGGTATATTGATGGCACATTGAAAACTATTCAAGATACATTCCTAAAATCATAGAGGTCCGCGTTCGAGGATGACTCGCGAATCTGGTTTAGGATGAGTGCCGTCATTGCCAAACCAGAAAGCCTGCAATCTGTTTCCACCGGACCCGGACAGAATATGATCATATACAGAATACATATAAATGGGCTTAGGACTCAAACTTATCAACTTTTACACGTTACTAAATGATCGTTCAAGATCGCATTAGCAAGGTATGTAATTAGAAACGCTTATGAAGTAAGACTTGTTTCTGCCTCCTTTCTAATGATTTAGGTTTGAAAGCACACAAATTTCGTTTCACGCTGAAAAGGGTCAGCTGTCTGAGGCAACGATTAACAGCTGTACCGGACGTTAAACTAGAAACGTTCATTTTTATTTATTAACTAAGATTTCAATCTACCGTAAACGAGAGGAAAATAGTCATCACAGGAAACAACATTTTAAACGATACTGTACGAGATGACATTAGATCCCTTTGCAACCCAAGTTAGGGCCACAAAGGAGGTATTTCCTTTACCGAAGTGGAGCCAAATTAGGTTGGAGAAAAGTTCCCGCGCCTTTTCTACTGACTAAAAACACCACACCTTTTACTCCAGTGACAATAAGTTATTAAGTTATGTATCTGCCGTCATGGTCACGACTTTATTCGTCTTTTTACTAAATGACTTTCAACGAACTTTTTATCAAAAGATAACAAGTTTCGCCTCGAAAAAGCGTGAAAAGGTTAGAAGGTGGTAGAAGGGCTGGAGAATATATAGGGTGCACTCAAACCCACCGTTTGAATTTCGGAAAGGCAGATTTGACGATGCTTGTTGTGTGTGGCCTTGTGCCGTTTTGTAAGAAAATAATTCAACGCTTCCTGTCGGATTTCTTTGTTTGATTAGTCTGATGGACCCGATACAATAAACGTCTTGTTTGTAGTAAGTAGTCCTCAGTGAATCAAACTTGTAGCAGTATTTCCAAATACAAAACATAAACTTTGTTGGATAAAGATCTGCACCTTGGCTTCTCGCTTAAGACCAGTCATTTTGACCTCTGGTTTATATAGACCTGCAAACACCACTTTTCATTACCGATAACAGCTCCGTGCAAAATTGGTCATTTTTTTGGATACCAGACCAGATACTGAGATGGAGCGTTAAGTCGCAATCCATTGTTGGGTTCAAGGACTTTATAAGATGGTGAAGCTCGGAATTGCTATGTGAACCCCAAATAACTAAAAGTGGCCAACGACAATCGTTCGCTTGAAGCCCAACTTTCAGCCGATTTGCCAATTTTTTTGTCGGCCGTCTTCTTTCAGATGTGCATTCAGATGGCCGTCATTACACATAGGCGGTCGGCGAAGGTGGAGAGGCATCCTCTAGGCACTGAATACATTTTCTAAGCTTGGTAAACTCCTGTTGAGCAGACCTTTTAGAAATAGCGTTGTTATCGTACAGAAAGCAAATGTCCCACACTATTTCAACAGTGTTTCGGCCTTGATAAATAGTGCAGTGCAGAAACTTTCAATATGGAACAGTTTGTAAGAAATAAACATCAAGTGAAAAACTAAGGTGCAAACGACAAAAACAGTATTGCGAGTTTCATAAACATTATATGCTGAGCTTCAATCTGACGTTTAACACATTTTTTTAACATTATCTATGAATTATCATCTACATAAAACCCCGTAGACTATCCAGCTGAAGCGATTAGACTAACATGCCTATGAATACATATGATAGATACATAAAACGAACATCCTAGCAACAGTGAAGGGCATTTGTCTTTGTACAGAGACCTACCTGATTCAGTGGGGACCAAACAATACGTTATTGCAACGTGATGCCCTTTATCACCTAGTTAGTGGTGTGAATCCCCTCACAGGTCCCGTCAGAACGTCCTGATCTTCCTGAAAACGCAGACAGAATCCATTCATACCTGAAAACACGCATGTTTCGTCCATTCTTCCAGTCAATAGAAAGCGTCGTAAATGCATATGCATTCTATATATAGCTGATGCAGCGCTGGCTTTTTATAAACTTCGAGATGTCAGAGTTCGGACGACGACGATTATCAGAGGTCCTAATACGATAATAACTATAATTAAGAGGGGTAAAAAGATTAGCTTCATGATTCAGCTATTCCATTTCTTTACGCTCCCCAGCTAAACAGTTGGTCTGTAGAAGGTGATCGTTAAACAAGCCAGAAAAACTTGGCAAAAATCGATGTCACTGAGGTCCCAATAGCGGACTTCTGAAGCAAAGGCATCTTCACGAGACACAAATATCCGTTATATCTTTTTATCGAATTGAACTGTCGGAGAAATCTCCGCCTCTAAACTGGGACTGATCACCAATCAGCGATAGGCGACAACACTGAACCACCGATTAACTCTTTATTCCGTTTTGTACAATTGAGCTCGACTTACAAGATGAGTCGCCTCGAGCAACGTTATAACCAGCGACAGCGACAATTGTACAAAAAAACTTTTATCAATTAAATTAAAGGCAATTAAAAAAAAACGTCACAGCATATATATTTTTACCGACAGCATATAGATAACCTATAGTTTTTCGTCCGATACTGTCGCAGAGCATCGCTCCGTACAACATATTCCATACACGACACGAAGGGTGTTGCTTTACGACTTGTTTTAGGCCTAGGTCACTTTAAATGTCCACACAAAAATGTTGCTACCGCACCACTACGAGTGATATAAATAGAACACCCAACAATCAACATGTGTACTTACGTATACATTACTGGGTTTTCTCCAGGCTAAACTGGCTTCGTCAGTTAACAAAAATCTATATGATTATCTTTTATTTTAGGCACTTTCGCGCTCTTAGCATGCGCGCTTATTCGAATTTTTTTCATGTCCTTTTTACCTCATAAGATAGCTGTTGGCCGCCGTTATTGTAGCAACTATCTCGCATCCATTCTACATCCTGTATCCATGTATAAATGTACGTTATATACCCAATACATGCTATTTATCGCACCCCCGTTTTAGCTTTTTTCTTTTTCTAACATTCTTAAATTAGCGATTTTAGAGGCAAGCAAAAATACAACGGACGGAATGAAAGTCTGTTAAACAGAAAAAACCTGGGATAGGCATCGAATAAAAGAGGGGGGGGGGGGTAGGCTGGGATCACACGTGAGAAGCAAACATGACCACGTACTTTGTGTCGTCGCTATTTGCTGAAGCCTCTTATGGCTACCGACATTGGCTGGCCAATTGAATCTATAGGACGGAAGGCTCGAAAACTCCTTTCTAGTCGAAGCACTGCCTCCGCTGCACTAGTTGGTTCTAGGTCTGTGTCGATTGTCTACTGATATTCCTGCCTGTGTAACTCGATAAAATATTGGCCATAGAGCAAAAGTAACTCTGCTCACACAACGCAGGCCTAACAGAGTCACGTCATCGGGAAATAAACAAAGATTTTGGTGCTGATGATACTGCCCTAAGACAGAGTAATAGAAATTCATATTATACATATATATGCCTGAGGTGACGTTCTAAACGTACGAGAACGTGCTTGTGATACAAGCATACCGATTAACTAATCCAAGTTTTTTGTTTAATACATGGCAGAGTTAGCCACGACGGAGATTATCGGCAACATCTGCAGATAATTTGCAAGTTGTTTTCCTTATCCTTGACTCCTTTCGTAGGCATTGTGTGCTGTATGATAAATAAAATAATAAATAGATTACAATACCAGTACGGTCGAACCGATCATATCATGGTAAATATGAGGCCTTTCTTCCATCGTGTACGTTACTTTGATTTTTCCAGTTCTCCATTAAAAAAGAAAAAAAGCTTCGAAGTTAGTCTATCCTCGGTCCTATAGCTCTATTTATAAATCTACGCGGTATGGAAAGATTAAAATCATTTGGTCCACAACAAGTAACAGTAACGGCTGTTAGTTAACTAATTACGCGTTAAGTCATTTTCCATTGTAAAATTGAGCGACATTACGAGATGCCGTCATTTTGCCTAGCTCGTATTGGCAATTCTGTTGGCCTCATCTTTTCGTTCATCTGTAACATCAAAATCGCCGCTGAATTCCGTCTGGGTGACGCCAAAAATAAACAGCCCAAATAAGAAATCAAGTAAAATTCAATATCGAAAAAACCGCAGAAGGCACGACAAGAAAAAATGTCACTTAATTTCTAGCATCGCCAAATCTTATTTCACTTTGTTCCTAAATTCAAAATCGACACTAGACAAAAAGCGGCTTGGTATTCCATTCAGTATTTCTGTTCTTCTATATATATATATATATATATATATATATATATATATATATATATATATATATATATTTTCGGATTTTCGGATCATTCACGTTTCACCGTTTTCAGTACCTCGTGCATTGCTTCTATGAACTATATATACATCCATCCACATTCACAAAATTTTACGTCCCCGTCGTCTCCATTTAGAAGATACACAGATGTGCTCTTCCAAGTTTCTATTGGAAATGAAATTTTCTAATGTTTCCAACGGTATACCCTTTGTGTCATCGAATTCCCGCTGCTACAATACTGGCAATAGCTCATCTGATCGTTGCATGCGGAATTGTCGTGGTACGCGTTTAGGCAATAGACGCATCGAACCGCTTTCGGCCCATCTTTCGGGCCCAGCTCTTTTTCCCGTCCAGCCCCCTCATACTTTCTGCAAACCGTAAATAAACAGGAGATACAAAGACACGTACGCATCACGCGTAATTCAATTACAATGTCCATACGATGTGACTGGCGCTGGAGAAACGTTTGACGCTGGAACGGGCCGCTCCAGCGTTAAATCGATGTGGCTGTTCCTTTTGACGCCAAAGATGTAGCAAATAAAAAGATTAAAATGTTCAGTTGCATCAGGCAACATTTCGCAATATTGCATTTCGCTTACAAACATAAAAAGGGAACAGACATACAAATTGTATAAATAAATATCATCGTCGCACACCGGCATGAATCACAAGTAAATATGGGTGTCCATACGCGCACGTCGCTACCGCTAATAAACAAACAAGCCCCATTTACGGCCGAACCCTGTTTAGGCGTCGTTTGTTTCCTTCTCCGAATGCGCGCCTGCCGGCGCCAAAATGCTAAAAAATCACGCCCCTCTCTTTCTTTCTACCTTTAGTTTTCCTTTCTAGACAGCGGCTGGCTGGGAAAAAACAGTGAATGATACAAATAATTCGCGCGCGTCCCGCAAGCTCTTGCAATCGCTGCTTGAAACTGTCCATGTCCAAGGGTACAACAACGCAACGTTAGGAGCACACAAAGGCCAAATCAGGAATATATGGTGGACGTTTACAGTGCAATGAGTTTTGTGTTCGTGATTTTCTGGCCAAACGCAGTATTCCATAAGCGAGAATTTACTCGTATATATATATATAAACAGGCCATTTATACGAGAATATACATACATATAGCGCTGGGATTCCTTTAACAGTCTGACAACATGTCCTGAAAACGAAGGCACTTTAAAAGTTTGTCATACCGTTTAAGTTTACTAGTAGTCATCATTAAGACTAGATAACAGATTCTGAGATTTGTCCTTCGTTAAACGAAAACGATTTTTTCGGCATTTCAGCACCAAAACCTTTCATTTATGTGACGGCATTGACATCTTAACAATGGCGCTTTATTAGACTCTGTCTTAAGGCATTAATAATGCACTGAAAAAGCGTGACATTTTTTTGATATGGCAGGTCTATGCCGATTTTTCTTTATTACAGAGCCTGTTTAAAACAGGGGTTTAAACGATGAACGTAACAAACTTCAGAGTTATTGCCCAGAGACTATCGATAAGTAAAGAACGCACCATCTAATAGAACAACTTCCATAGGCATAGTATTTTGCAGAGTCACGTTTACAAATTCATAGGTGATAAATGCCTGCTCGTTTATAAAGATGGTGCGCGAAACGTCTAAAACGGTTTCTTAATAATTTGTGAATTAGGAAACCATACGACGCCACGAACAGGGCTAGATTTGGGTTTTGGCTGACGGTTCATAGCATGATCAATGGATGACCTACACATAATAATAATAATACAACGATAAATCCTACCAATTCGGACGGTAAAATCAACTTATCCAATTGATATATTCGTTTAAAGCAAGTCACTTCCAAACCCTCAAGGCAATCTTCAGTGGCAACGTAAATAGGTATGAGCACTGCGCCTCTGCATGACCTTCAAGTAAGTATCTAAAATTTAAGAATTTTTAAATCCCTTCATATTCGCAAGCCGAAACCATCTTCGTTACTATTTCTTAGTTTTATTCTAAAATCAGTTTTTCTAAGCAGACCTATGAAATCTGCTATTTCGAATAGAATCGGATTGGCGCTTTATCCCTATCGATTTTCGTAGCTCCATTCCCACCAAAAGGCCTCTCTCGACAGTATCATCGTCACCCGCCTACGCAATTACCGGCCAAGAACGATGATATTCTGTCTAACGTCGGCTCTCCTGATTTTCCATTGTTTTGCAAAATTCTATCCTCGGCAAATCTGTCTGAACGTCCCGTTCATCTGCGAACCAACTGGCAACAGTGACATGATGGAAGGTTAGCGAACTAGCGGTCGTACTGCGGCGGGTAACCTCAAACTTGGTGCGTGTCTGGATGCTCAAAGAAGGAAGAAACTGACGACGATGCCGACAATAATAATCTTGGTAATATAGAGACGGTCACCTCTGTAATAGGCCGCGGAGATAGTCTTCTCTAGCTTCCTTAAATCTACGGGAACCCCCTTAGGTACTTTGACATAGGCTAAAATGCCTATGGCGTCATTCCGTGCGTATTAATATCACGCACTTGCGTATACGCATCATTGGCCTGTCTTATGAGAGGTGTGTATAAGAATACCGATGATTTAGTTGAGTATGTACACAGGCGCCACATTCCAATCTATTTGGGACCAAGTTAAAAAATCCCTCTTCTAGGTACGATCACCAGCACTATCAATACGGTTCTTCATGGTCTTGAATGGATTTTCGTCGACGAAGCCTAGGATAGAAGTTCAGGTAATAGCAAGCAGTCCTAGGTAGACAGTGTCTATTTAACACCGTGGTAGAGCGACTGCTATGGAACAGGTCCACAGGATGATACGGACCTGGAGATAGCCTTAAAGAGTCAACACAGACCAACGTAGAATCCGAAGTTTCCGTGTCGTCTTACGTCTTCTACTGTGTATTCACAATAGTTCTCATAGATACCAATGCTCAGATACACAACGATCGATAGCATGGCGAGCCGATAGAGAAAATACGAATATCCTAAGCAAACTTTGCGCGACATCTCAGCCCAGCGAAGGCATCATCATCGGCATCGAAAGACAAAATCACGAAACGGTCTTCAGCCCGCTCTGTCCCTTCAACCTTTTTACTAAAGCGTAATACATATATACGAATAGACCGTGTCAGAATACTCGCTTGAAGTGCTGTCGATACGTCTTTACTACAGTTGCACACAAAGGTGAAGCTTAGCTTTAGCAAAAACTTTATCGAGAATGTACACTAAACGGTATAGCATCGATGGCCTACGAGACGAAAACGGGACAAGAACAGGCCCCCGGTAACAACAATAGTAACTGGTGCAGTACCAATTCGGTTTCTGCGTGCATTATTTCTTTCCGCGAAATACGGAGCGACACCGAGTAAAAGCATAGACACTGCCAAATGTAACCACGAGTTTCTCGGCACAATGGCTATACTATGGGAATATTGGCGTAGGCGCCTGATTAGGCTACGAGGATGTCATCTACGAACTTCTACGCTGTCCGATTTCTTTGATTAGCTTGGCATGATGAAGTCCCCAGCAAGGCCAACGGACCCAGTCCATGAGATCAAGGAAAAATTATAGAAATTGCTTTTCACCTTGATTTTAATAGCCAATTAGATGGCGTGGCCGTACCCGTTTATAGCGTTTATTTAGAAAGCAGGTCGTATCAACCTCTTATCGAAATCAACGACGAAAGCGCCCAGATCCGTGATCTCTGGATTAGGCGAATCATTGGATGGATCATTATAAGTTGTCCTGGGGGAACATATGCAATGAGCGCGGGTCTATTTGAATGCACACACATCTTATTGAACACAACAGTCCTCTTGACAGGTAGAGACAATAGCAGTAAAGCGGCCGCCATGAACAAAGGTATAAACGAAAAATGGCGCCGTAGAGATTCTACATGAATTGTCTGTGTGTTTTTGGGTGTGACATTCACTTCAACTTATGTCACCTTCTATTTTGACACTTCTATTTTTGCCATTTTTTAGTTTAAACGCGCAAGGAAATGTAAAATGATGTTATTAATTCACATTTCTTCAGAACTGAATACAAAATCAATAAGAATAGGGAAGTACCTCTTGCGTGTCCAAGCTGTAGCCAGAGGGGACGTTTGTAATACGAAAGCGCCTATTGACTTAGATATATACTTAACATTATTTTGGTGTATATTTGCCCATAGATTATCTCCGTTATGCGTTTTCTTAAATTGAACAAATATAGGTATATTTATGGTTTCTAATTAAGAAAGTGCTACTGTAAAAACTGGCACCTGTTGAAGTTATGTTTATCTATCCAATGTTAGCTATCCTGCAGTGGTTTTTTTTCCCCGCTTGTTTAAGACCTTGACATATTAACGACATTAACAGATATCGTGCCTCCAGAATATACTCGCTGTAGAGTCCACGGTTAGTCGGCGCTTGTGACTGACCTTCAAGGTCAAACTCGTAGACCTGCGTGAGCTATCCTCGGTGGGAATTGTCTTTTCTCGATAACCAATCGTTTCTATCCCTTTATCTCGGAAGCGGTTTTTCTTAAAATGTAATAGAGTAATAAATCTAATCGCAGATACAAGTTTTCGATCTAGTATGCAGATATTCGCTTTTCTATAGGGTAAATGAGGAAAAAGTCACTCGGTACGTGCCTCTTTGCACCCACGAAGAAGATAGTCGATAGCATCGGTAGCAATAGATGTCAGTCAAACACGACCAGCATCTCATTGAGTATACAGCAGCGTTTTTTCTTTCGAACTTTATGGCAAGTGAATGAAATTTTAGTACTAAGGCTTGCTTAAACCCTTGTAGTTAAGAGAGCGTCGACATTACGTGCGGCAATGGTCAGCCTAATTGACCCGGCCTGGTCGTTCCTCGTACAAACAACGTGTTGCTAGTGGAAAAGGTGTACAGTTTGAGCGAGTGATTTCTACCTTCTACTTCGATCAATGAAACATCGTACCTCAAACAAATGTTTCCTTTGTTTACTGTTTAATGTATACACTCGTAAGTTTAGTGTTCGCAGAATCCTTCTCATCTGGATTCATCAACCCACGTAATATCCTTTCCACTCAGCTGAGTCGTCTGACCCACATTTCTCAGAGGCGACCAGTGACTGGCTGGCCGTATGGCCAGCGGTCTGCACCTTCAATGTCGATATTGTTTTTTTTTCGAAACAACGCATTGGATAGTCTACGGCAAACTCACCACTTGCACGAACGGTCAAAGTGCCGTCAATACGTATTACAATTTGACTGTTTTACAGGAAATAACACCGATCACTGGAGCTAGACAAATGAACGTGCGAAAAGGGTACTAACATTGTAGATATCGGAGAAAAAAAATAATAATAATAAATAACGATATGTATTAGCGAGAAAATGGTTAGCGTCGACTTAATAGCTTATAGACTAATGATAACCACTAGAAAGGCTTTGGTTGTCTGAAGCCATTAAACATGCCATTATATAAGGAACGGTATTATTATTTTGGTTCAAAGTTCACCAAATGCCACAATGAAAACGCTGTTCATTGAATCAGTGCCTACAAATAGATATATGCGTGTGGCTGTCGAGCGAATGAGACGTTAAAGGGTCGTCGTTGTGGGATAGATATAGACATTGGATCTATTTAGTTTAACTCGACTCATAGGTATCTGGCCAAACAGGTCTCTAGAAATACCTTTAACAGTAAGTTAAACTGCGGACGAACAAGCAAGAAAGCATATATATTTGTGAGTTAATATGGGCTACATCCTTATGGGCCCCTAGCGATGGGTTAAGCAATCAGCGTCTTCGTACACTGCTGCAATTATTTGCATCGATAATACGAGGATACGCAAAAGGAAATCGGAAACTTGCATCCGGGTTGTTTTGGCGACGTCACCCCAAAAACAACGGCTCCGGGATGCTACTTGAAGTTGTCCGATACCTTTTTCAGCATTCTGATGATAATGATCAGCAGAAGAAAAACATGCAGGCTTCAAAAAGCCACTGACGTTGTCGCATCCGGGGCAATCCTCCGCATGATTTTGAGTGTCCCTTCTTCGAAACAACGTACAGAAGAAAACGTTATTGGGAAATGACTTGACGGGTGACCAGGCGCTGATAATTAAATACTTACAAAGACAATGTACTATGACTCATGAGAATACTGATAGTGTCTGGAAATAACAACCGATCTGAGTTTTAGAATGGGTTCGTGTTAAAGAACACGACACCTTAATGAACAGTCAATCAAGCTATATATATATAGTGCTTTTGACCGCTACAGAGTATACATTTACATACAATGTAATAACAACGATATTAATTATTCGTGCGTTTGTAAAAAAAAAAACTGATTTATGATGCTATCTATTGTACGGTCCACAGTAATGGAAAGTGTTCTGAATAAAAGAAAGTTTAATAAAGTCAAATAATGTACTGATTCAGGGTTATTTAATCAAAAAGGTGACCAAATATTAAGAGAATGCTCGCAGGAACAGCCGAAATCAACTATCTATTTATGTTCCATCTAACACATTGTCGTAAAATGGCTATATAGAGAAAAAGACATGTTGAACTTTTAATAGCAGCTTTGGTAGCACTACGCATCGTTCTAACTAACTGCCTAATCAATCCTATTTCCTCATATATAATGTTAGCAAAGATCTTCCTTATGGACATGACCCCATAGACTTTTCCATAGACAGCCATTGTACTATACTGATCCAGTTTCTATGCATTATAATACCAATAAATGATGCCCAATGTATGACGACAACGACGACGACTTTAACTAGGAGGCTTACTACACCCGCAAAATATCTCTTTGATAAATCAGCTTCTAGTAATTCAAAGAGGGTAGCTTTTCGCTATGAAGAATATCAAGAGTTTTCTTCTTTAATCGTCACAATTAAATCGCAGCTTATATCAAATAGCTGGGCTATCTCTAAATTCATCGAAAAATTTCGGGTTCACCATCTTTTACCACTGATCCAGCCTCTTGGGATAGATTCTCTGTTTCCACCTATGTATGATACACTGAATTCTATAGAAGTGTTTTTTAAGCGAATTTCGAACGATATATTGAGTGTACTATTATGTATGGGAAAAAAATATTAGTATTGGTCAATGGCAACTGACAGGTGTTTAAAAAAGCGTCTTATTAATTAGGGTTTGCACGCGCGCGAACGCTCCGGAACATTATTGGCATGGTAGCTCTTTACATCCAGGAACCACTACGCGTTCCAACTGCCGCTCAGAGACTCACTGTTGACAAACCAGGTTAAATCTCGAGGATGAACTTGCCAGTGCACTCACTATCTGATTCGCCACTTAATAGCAAATAGCTATTATTGTCGAAGAAACACAAACGCACATACAAGTTGAACGAAACGAACTATTTAAACTTCCTGCTACGATTAACTTTCACGTGTAACACCCCAATCAGCTGCCCCCCACTGGAAATCCGTTAAAACCAACATGGCGACTTTCTAGTGACATTTCGAACAGTAAGCCGTGTTCCACTACCCTGAGCTGCTTCTTTTTCCGGAGTTCGGAGCGCCAATGCTGCCGGAAATGGCACGAGCAAGTTTAGCGTAAGTAAGTCAGAATCCCCGTTTTTTCATCGATAGATAATAACTAAAATGAATTAGCTATACTGATTTACACGGGATGAGAGACGGCAAAAAAGGCAAACCGTTTCGTTAATATCTTAGTGTTCCAATATTGGCAACGTTCATATATACATCACAAATTACCTATACGGACACATGTTTCTAATGTGAACGACTTGCGTTTTCTGCACCATTGGCTAGATGTCACAGATTTCACTTATGTTTTCCGTTTGTAACCACTAACCAAAGATTACACACAGTCATTTATGTATCCGTTCGTTATATGAGTACTAAGGTATGTTCAGATCAGTAGAAACTGCTGTATTCATTCTTCTCTGTAATTAATATTCTTTTATTTTTTTTGTTGTTATTTTATCTGTATTCGGTGTTTAGTCGATTGGAAGACTAGGTGGTTCTTAAAAGCTTGCGATGCCTGTGGGTCGAGGCCAAGTAAAAGCGCTTATTGTGAAGCGTACTCGGCGTGCCATACACGACTTCAAAATGGGTTTCGCACCCCGCAACGTCCGCCAACTGTTCTGTGCTGGTATAGCTTTGTCGTTGACGTGCACGTTATGCCTGGTTTTCTGGCTTAATCTCGGCATTCTCGAACATCCATACTCACATAGATTAGCCATAATTATACCATTTCGGGATCGGTTTGAAGAACTACTTGAATTTGTACCGCATCTAAGTCGATTTTTAACAGCCCAGGGGGTAGCGTACAGATTTATTGTGATCAACCAAGGTGATCGGTTCCGATTCAACCGCGGAGCGCTCATAAACATTGGATACCTTGTGAGTAGGGCACAATGCGATTATATGGTGATGCATGACGTGGATCTTCTTCCGCTCAACCCGAAACTCAGCTATCGTTTTCCACAAGGAGGTGAGAAGATTGCTGGCAACAATAAGCGTAGCAAGTAATGAATCCGTTTCGAATGTTTACAGGTATCTGCAAGCCGAGTCACCTAACATATACATCTTTTTGAAGAACTAGTTATGATTTTCGCCAAGTGCCTTTGATCTGTTTGGGCGATCTGACTGGGGTTGATGTTTTAAAAGTTCACTGTCAAACCTATGGGCGAGATGTGTTATTGACATCTGTTGCTATCATTATGTAATGTATATTTTTATAAACAGATAAACATTTTACTTACCAAACTTTATTGTGCCTATCAGTAAAGTAGCCGGTGACGCGTATCTAATTGCCTGCCTTTTTTGTGTGTCATGTTTGAATTAGATTGAACTGTTGCTAGCTAGGTAGCCGTAGAGGCGAAATCTGTCCAGCTATTCATCGTATAATGTTTATATATGCATTGAACATGTAAGCTTATATAACTAGTATTAGAGCCCCCCCCCCCCCCCCCCAATCGTTAAGCTGTCTTTTTTCTATTGGTCAATGAATGACTCTCAGATCATTCGAAACCGGACGAAACATTATTACGGGGGGCTACAACTTCTTATTTGGCCTGTCGTCTCAAAGAGTTTCGGTAACACGCATATATTTCTCTTCGAGAAACGTTTGTCTTCATATTTAATTTTCTACAGATAACGTGATCGTCCATATAGCAGCTCCTCATCTTCATCCTAAATACCATTACTCCACTTTCGTCGGTGGGATACTGCTAATGCGGCACGCGGTGTTCGCTCGGCTAAATGGCCTATCGAATAAATACTGGGGTTGGGGTTTGGAAGATGATGAGTTTTACGTTCGCGCCAAAGAGGCAAACGTACGATTTGAGAGACCGCCGACGGACATCGGAACTGGGATCAACGACACGTTTCGGTTAGTATTGTGATTTCTGCCAGTACAAACTAATCAATGTTTCGGGTTCAAAGCCATTTGTGTACGCCAGTAAATCGGTACGCGTTCGGTCATGATTTTCAAAGAAGTAAAAGTCTTACGTTGACGGCCTATTTAATATTTTCCGTTAGCTACTCAGACATTCGCTGGTTGATAGATAACCGTGATCGAATTGCTAGTAGATATGTGCGCGTTCTACCCGTTTAGGCATATTCACGATGCGCGACGTCGTCCGCGTGATATGGTCCGAATTGGGTCGCAGCGAGAGGAGTCACGCAAGCGCGATCGAGTTACCGGCCTCAACAACGTTGTTTTCCAACACCAGGGCCTTTACCAAGTCAGAATTGGCGAAGTGCCTGTGGACGTCCACAATGTTCATCTACATTGCGATCTGACCATTACGCCATGGTGCGAAAAACCTCGACCGAAAAAACCTGTCGCTCTATCGGCCATCGATAACCCGCCGCGAAATCCAGTGTCACCCTGAGTTCTCTGTTGAAATGTGCCGGCCGTATGGCAGATCAATAGTAACTCTAACATCATTTGAGGGTCACGCTGCCAACGGAGCCGACGGTCGAGCCCTGTTCATGTGTAGAAACAAACATGCGATAAGGGAATCGCATCTGTAGATAGAAGAAGTAGTTCAAATTAAATTATTAACAAATCTATAAATAAAGTCAGTGTAAGTGATATTTGAAATGGGTTGAATATAGATCTACAGAACAATGATGTACAGAATACAATTATATGCGCCATGTATATAAAATGCTTTACTAGGTAACTACGCCAAGTGGGAAATAAGTAGAATAACAATGAAAAAATATAAATGCTTACGGATGGCCGAATGACAAATAGATCACGAGTTGGGTTCGCTGCTTTCTTAAAAAAACATTCAAAATTAATCACATAAACCTACTTCTAGGCAGCGTTTCCGAATCAAGCAAGAGAGGTGGCACAAAAAGCGGTTTCGTCCAGATTTGGGTCTATCGAGCAGCCGGCAATGGGTCAGTGCAAACTAGTTCTGGATTGCTATAACCGAATTACTCCTTTACAATGTCCCCTGCTCACTCGGGCGTATTCAATCGCATCGCTCGTGCTTACTTCGTTTGACGTTTGTTATTAGTTACTCTTGTCTGTTACTCTCGACTGGTTTTTTATATCTTAATTACTCGACGATGTCCTATATTTTCTATGCTACCATTGTTTACTCCAGTGCTTTGTTTATTCGTGCTTGTTTATTTAGACTTGCCCAGCTTTCGCGGAGAATTGTCTGTCGTATCTCAGTTGGCACTCCTTCGTAAATCAGACTGATGTAAGAGTGTAGCTGGTCATGTTTGAGCGCTGTTAGAGAATCGCCTTGATAATAGGAAATGCTGTGAACAATTAGAGTCGAATGTATCTAGAGAAAGATGGACAACTTAAACTAAAAATCAACAAAGTTATCTATAATTTCGTATAACTTGTGTCGCCAACTTGTGAACGTTGGACAGCGACAACGAATGAAGTATTAGATGTCATGGGATACATCAATTGGCGATCTCGAGGGCTTTTTCGGTCATCGTTTTTGATGGCAATAGTGTATACCTCCTTGTCATGTATATATAATGGTTGTTGTATTATAAGTAGATTTTAATTGCACCGCCACTTGCCACTCATCTATAAATCAAAATAATGTTACTTCATGGTGTACGCTAGCTTCAATGGTAGCACAGGCTGGTACCGCATTAAATCAGAGAGATTTCAGTCGTCAGAAGAAAATGAGAGCTAATCCGAACATCGATCATCTGATGTTAGAGTACTTAACGGCATCTATGGTCAACCTCTTATGTGTTGATTTTTTCTATCACAATCTTCTGACCGTATTGTCGTACGCAACAAGCGTGTAACGCAGCAGGTAAACAATCACCACTTGAAGAATAGCAATTTTGACAGTGCGTGGTAGTCATAAGTGTGAACGAATGGGTATCAATGCGTTTGATAGCTTGAACAACCTTTACGACTAGTGCTCGCTATAGTGGGCGCTTTGCCTGTCAGACGGGCGGGTGGGCGATACAGCAAGCGGTTTAAGATTGGCGGTAAAAACATTTTCGAGAGTGGAGAAACAAATCGAGCTTTTGATTATGTGGGTTTTATTTTTGTAGATTTTTCAGCAAAAATATGTTCAATAAAGGTGTGTGTGTCATAAGTGAAACATTGACTCAGCGTGACGCCTTGATTTTTGCTGTTTAGAGGTAAGCGTATTTCGTAATAGCCAATATAATAATCCTAGGAACTAACTAATCCCAGGGACAATTCATTCATCTCATAACGATAGCTGAAAGCCTGTTTCAACAAACGTATCACCGTAATAACATTGGTGTAGAAAATATCGTTCGAGCTGCCGCATAGTGTTCCGTGGGTAAGTAGAGTTGACTATAAAAGTAGTCATCGCGTTATTCCCTAACGTAATTAAACGATAATCGTCATTATACTGAGCACACCTTAATTTTATTGTAATGAAATTGGTTAGCAACTTATAGTACGATCCCTTGATTTGTATAAGTTACGGACTCTCAACTCGACCGATATCTCTCTTCTGTCTGTAGTTATGGCAACCGCGATTCACCCTCGGAACACACCTCAGGCCTGCAACTATCCAGACTTTCTCAGTGGCCGAGCAGTGCTGCGACGACAAATAGGTTTGTAATGTTGTCATGAATTAAAAACAACTGACCGTACTTATCAATTGTTTTTACGCTTTTTGCTTTTATGAGCTAATGGAGCGGCACTCGTGGATACGATTTCTGTACAATTGGAAATAGGCAATCAAGAAGCTGTCGAACGTTTTGCGTTTGTACGTACTTAGACAGACGATAACACCATACAAATCAGCACTAGCGAACAGGTGAGGCAATCCTTGTAGTTCGTATATCCTTGTAGTTCCTTCCTAGAATCCTTGTAGTTGTAAAGGAATAACAGACAAGTTTGCATGCACCGACAGAGTCGCAGGGAGCTCCGAAAGCACAGGAACCGTACCATAATGACCGAGCAGGTGAAGTTCGTATTGGCTAGGCTGAATGAGGAACCTTTCAACAAAAACCTCAACTTAATCAGTCTGGACGCACTCCGTCCGGAGCAGCTCCTGCAGCTGATGTTTGATGTATTCGCACAGGTTGACCCAAAGGTGAAATCCGATGTGCGAACCGAAGACGCCGAACAGCTTTCTATAAAGGTGAGCGTGTTCCGGCTGAAGTAACCATACGCTTATAAGATCCTGTGGCCTATTCTAAAATCTGGTAGAATAATCGAAACTGTGTGTGAATCCAGTTCAGTTTACTTTAATTTTATTAGGGATGTGGAAATATTACTTTGAGGCAAGTTCTCCACCGTGAGAATAAATTGATTAGTTGATTCGGCGATATTATCGAGCCAGCATATCAAACTAATAAACGATCCATGACTAGTTAGGTTTACTTTTTTTTAATTTATTGAGGTTTGTCTCATTTCTTTCATGATTTTATTTCGTAGCTATGTTTTATGAATAAGCGAAAATTCCTTTTTGGCAGCTAAATTGTTCACTGCCAGTGAGTTCAGAGCCATGATTTTTTGGGCATTATTACTGAATGTTGAACAAAATAAATAGCACGTCTTTCGTTAGGAAGGTCATTCATAGTGACACGAACCAGTGAGGCCTTCAATAAAGTTCAATGTTCGTCGTGGTAGCGTTACATGTTAAGGTTGCCATAAGCGGTGTCCTAAAGTTATTGATCTTTAACAGGCATTGACTCTACTCCGTATCATCAAATATAAACCTCCAACGGACATTTCGCTGAGCGCCTTTCGGCAGGGGCTCGTGATGAGCGATAAAGGAATCGTCTACCATATTCTGTACTACGTTCTCGCAAAGCTTGACACCCACAAGAAGAGAGCATACCTTTCCAGGTCTCTATCAAACATCCTCGAGCTTTTCCCATTTTATTGATTCGATTATGTAAATAAAATAGCCTATGTTATTATATACAAGATACTAATTGTATGATGGGGTTCAGTGTCGTTAGTTCTACCTAAAACAACTTTGATTATACGTCTTCTCTGTGTCATAATGCTTCTTTATGATTGACATAGGTATTTGATGAAAGTGGAAATTACGCCTGATTTAGAAGGCGATGCGGACCTTGTGGACATTCAAGAAGAGTACGAAAAACTTATGGATCAATTCAAGCTCGTTCATAAGGAATACGAAGCTCTCAGTAGGGTAAGCTTGAAAAGAGACTTTGTTGTTTGTTTTGTATAGTTGGGTCATGAAACATTTGGATTTGCTTCCTACACTTGATCCCAAACCAGTAATACAAGGTGCAATTGTAATTATGGGCCGCATTAGTTATTTTCTATAATACTTCATCTCATCGAAAGCGGGCTTAAATGGCGTACTACAATAATGATTTCGCCAGTTCCATGGCCAGCTCTAACTTCACGGCGTCTGACGGCCCACTCTAATATTACGCATGGTGACATCTGTGCGCGCTCTTCTATTTATAGTCGGTGCAAAGTTCAAAAGAAATCCAGAAAGATATGGAGCACATGGAAGAGGAGCGGCAACAGCTCGGCCGCAAAATGGACCGAGTAAAACGTAAAGTATCTAGCATCTACAATCGAGACGCGATGCTTAAGGCCGCTGCGAGTCTGCGTCGAGAACAGGAGAGAGCTGAGGGTTTGGCTCAGGACCGAATGGTTCAACAGGACACGTTGAATCACACTGAGCAGAAGATTAATCGACTCACTCAGATGGTACAGTGGAGTGGCACTTAATAGACCTTTTCTATCATTTTTCATACTAAATGTATTTAATTGAACGTAGTTTTAGACAGACCGAATTGTAACGGCTTGGCTTTGGGTGGATATCTTCGTTTACTTTGCCGAATAATAATGAGTGGAGATAATAAAGGTGCACTTATTTTCAGGCCGTTTCGGCTGAAATGGCGTGACCTTTCCATTCCTATAGTTATATCCGCCTGTAACGGAACTAGCTAAGCTGGAAAAGGCCAGCTATCTCGTACACACCACAACGTTGGTGGTTTGATTGTACCAAGTACTGTAACAGTGATACATTTTTACAAATTAAAGTTTGCTAAGGCGCACATAATGGTTCAGGTAAAAATTGAGCGACAAGCTGCCGTTGGAGCTACTCCAGAGACGCTTCTATCGAAACTGATGGAAGAGGTAAAGGCAAATGGTTACCTGGTTCATGAGAAATTGCCTAAAGAGATTCGTTCAGGCCGACTTCTAATCAAGGACCTTCAAAGGGTGGTCGCCGAACCTGCAATGTCACAGGCCGACCTGGACAAGGTAAAGTGCTTTTTCCTCGCACACTGTATTTTATTTTTGCATATTTAGCATTAATTATAGAATTAGCTGTATGATGAACAATATCGATTGGTAAACGTGGCCGAATACGGAAACTAGTTGACAATGTATGTTTGCTTATATGCTAATAATTACTTTAAACGGAACGTTAACCGCTGGGCCGTTTGCACAGGTGAATGAGGCTCTAATTGAGGAGAATACTGAAGTAGGTCGCCTTTATGAAAAGAAGATGCGACGCAGCGATCCTGACGAAAAACAAACTCTTTTCAGACAACAGGTGCCTATAGGATAGTTCCTGAACTTATGTGGTCCTCCATTTATAATTAGCAAATAATTGCAACAATTATAGTAACCTCGACGTACGTACTATAGATAAATAGCATGATAATTTTTCATTATAATGAATGCTCCCCATTACCTGTAATTAATCTTCAAATGCCAGGCCGCTATTGTGTCGCGAAAGAAAGAAGCTGCGGCTGAGCAGATGGAGACGCTTGCCAATCAGTTGGCTCAACTTCAAGGTGAACTCGAGGACAAACGACAAAAGAGTGCCGTATACGCGGACACGCACGCCGTTGTTCGTGGTGAAGAATTCAAGCAGTACGTCACTAAACTCAGGTACTTCAGTGTTCTCGATTGTTTTGAACTGAAGAAAGGTCTTGAATAAGTAATATGCTTAATTTTCCAATTTCCAATTGATTGGTTTCTTGCCAAATGTAGTATTCGATATAGTCAAAAGGTATTTTGCATTTGAAAGGGAGAAGATTACTAGAGATCTTTCGGGTTATTTCGAAGAAGATAGTGGTCAGCGGGGAGCGACAACAATAGTCGCATTTCGTCGCCCGTATCGAAGCAGACATTTGTCCAATATACTGGTAGGCAACTCGATGCGCAGACCGAACTAAAATGCTTATCGGTATCGTCCAACTTCAGGTCGAAAACGAATTCGTATAAACAGTTAAAGCAGGAGCTAGAAGATCTCCGCGCAGAGACGGATAAGATAGCAGCCGAGGAGGACGAACTTTTGCAGAAAGAAAAGGAAGCCACTGAAAACCTTATTGCGGCAGAACATTCGAAAGGTGCCCCGCCCAAATCTGTAAAATAATATATGATAATTAATCAGTAACACCCACATTTTCTTTGGGAGCGTAACGTGGGAATCCGTGTATCTGTGTACAATGGGCTTTTTCAGGTGTGGGTGGCTATTTTGAAGCGCAAAACAAGCTCGAGCAAATATCCAGTCTGAAAGCACGACTCGACGAGCAGAAAGGGGTAACACTTGAAGAAATGTCGCATATGGTCGAACAGCTAAACGCACATATAGCGGCCAAGAAAACTGAACTTGCTCCCTTAATCAAGGTAAACACTAGATGATCTGTCAACGGCTGCGCTGACAAGCCGGACTTTACCACTGTTTGTTGCGGATCGCTCGGTGACAATCTGAGACCTTAATTGCCTTTACAATTATGTATTTCGCATTTTTCTCCATATCCCAATAACGGGTCTGCTCTGTTCAATTACATTTGTACTACGGGATTAAACTTTATGCTTTAGGAGTTGAAGCCGCTTCGGCAAAAAATTCTTGAGCTACACGAGGAGTACGAAGATAAAAAGAACACTTATAATTCATGTGCAGTAGGCCTCGACACGTCGATGGCCAAGCTGGAACTTGACGTCCAACAACTCAGGTAAATATAATGTTGTGTATAGTTACAAGTGTGAGCAGTTATTAAAGTTTGTTTCTTTTTTTCTGGAACTGCTCGTACGAACCAGCATTATATATATACATATATCTGCAACGACGCTATAACGCATATGTGCTGACGTTCTGGTACCGGTATTTAAATGCCGGGAGAAATTATCATGAGTGTATGCAGAAGATTTGTGATACTGGAATAGCATAGTTTAAATTGCCGGCAACGGAAAATTTGAATGAGAAAAAAAAAACGGGAAAAAATTGTGTTGTTTTGCACGTTGGAAGCTAATCATCTCTGTGGTCTGGTTTCAACGATACTCACTATGTAATAAAGTAATCTTACTTAATCGATATCACATAATGCAACTACTTGCTTCTCAAGTATGCAGTATATGTAGGATGTAGCAAGAGCGCCGTTTACTTTCACTCAGCAGTCCAATTAATTGGTCCGATACAAAAAGAAAATCTGGTTTACATCGACATTTTATATTGACACAAAAGGCTACTGGCCCAACTTTTACAGCTTCTTTAACTTCTTTATGGATGCATTTAGGGAGCAAGTTTTGGCCCACGAGTCCCGATTCCATTTGAACAATCGCGAAGGAAAACTTCTACGAGCGAAGTTGGATCTCATGATAAAGTCCGAGTTAGCCGCGTATAAGAGTTCAGATCCAAAAATTAAGAAGCAAACTTATCGAGAGCGGATTAACTTGGCGATCCAGAAACAGGTGAACACAGCCGTAACGCTAGATATATTTCAAGCATTTCAGTTAAATTTCAGATCTCTGATCACATTTGCTTTTTTTTTGTGTACAATTTCATTCTTGCGACAATTGATTCAGCGTATGTTGCATCATCGTCACCGTCGCTGTCGGATGGACTTAGCTATTTCGAGTAGTATAGTAGTATAGTATAGTACGTGTCGATTCTTCTCACAGGAAACTGAAGCGAAAGAACTTCGAGAACGCCAGAAGGAAGTGAATCAGAATCAAGATTCGTTGGTAACCCAGCTCAAAATGTGGACTGACCTAAACAGACTGCTCGATATTAAAATACGCAGCTTTAAGCAATCTCAAGGGCTATCAATGATGTAAATAAATATTTTGAGAAGACACCTCACTGTTCGTCGATGTCTTCTTTCTTAAATTGCCCACGTAGCAAATCGCTTACTACATGATGAAAACGTATCATTTTTTGATAGAGTGGTAAGCTATAGCTATACGCGATGACGTCATTTATATGGGTTCTTCTTTTCTTGAAGTACCCCATTAGAATACACTGGTACCATACCTTTAAGTGCATTTATTTGATTAGGTTTCGCTTATCGAAAAGGAATATGGATTATGTGGCTTTTTACAGGTTGGAAGCATCTAAAACCGTTGCTTTCTTGCCTTTAGCACGCAGAAAAATGTTTAACATACGTCCCCAAGCAATTCAGTACTTCATTGATCATCTGCTAGCTCACTCTGCTGGCTCGCTCAGTACCTCGCAACGGTTCGTGTGCTTGTGGGACTGCCGCGAGAATGTTTGTTCAAGTACTAGTAGACACGCTTAGTCAGTAGCGGTGCATCAGATATCGCACCCTGGTATTTCTATGCCGGCATGTGCACGATGCGACAGTGCAACGCAATGATTCACTGTCGATAGGACGCCCATATTTGAAAGAGAGGTCAAATTGCTTCATTCTGAAATTTTATTATCATTACATCTGATACATCATCAAATAGCGAGGGATTTTTAACTTGTTAAATAGAGTGTCACATTGAGAAGCCGTCTTACGAACTACCTGCCATTTTTAGATCTAAACCTTTCCAGAGTATCGAGGCGAAGAGCAGCTGAAGCTTTCGAACGCTTCAGAGTTATGACACGATCATAGTTCTTTACATTCATAGGTATTAGTAAAAGATATCACTCATAAACACGACTGTTTTATACTATACGAATACGCTATATTTATTCGTGTCTAGACTCACTGTATAAGGGTTGAAGTAAGAAAAGGTTTATTTTATTTGTTTGCCTTACTTTAATTATATACACACACGTATTTTTACAACATTTCGTTTTGGTCTAGATATATAGTGGCTCCGCTATTTTCTTTGGTTTGCTTAAATTGTTTTTACAAAAACGAAACCGAAAAACTTTCGTCGATTCCAAAAAGCCGCGTCACGTACAACATGCCTGAAATGGGGACAGTTGGCGTCGGAAGCTTTTAACCCCGCGTAAAAAATCTGTTTCTTTACTAAGTCACACCTGTTGTATCGTATATGTAATCGGTGGGGTTCAAATTAGCGACCCTTGTCTTTTCGGGCAAAAATTAAAGTAAAAAAACAGAGAATTAAAATGCAATATATGTGACATGTGCACAATTTTCAAGAGAGTGCATGGCGCAGGTTGACGTATTCGAGTTATGAAGTCGGTGGCACCGGAACGAAGTTGCTCGATAAAGGCTTTCCTCTGAGATTTTTGTTGCCGAGCTTTTCATCGTTGTTTCTGTTGCTATTTCCGGTGCTGCCCAAGATGCGGCTTCCCATAACTCAATCGCTGCCAGTGGACTTCTTACTGAGCTGTTTCGGCAATCTGGTCCTGATAGTTATTATTATAATTTTTAAGATATCTATAATAGACGATCATATATAGGCATGTTTTTCCGAGTTCTCAGCAGAACCACGATAATAGAAGATACATTTGCAAGTGTTATAGGATTAGGAAAGTGGCTCATCATTCTCCATGTTAATTTGTCATTTCTAATCAAATGCTCGTTTGCATAACGCGTAAATATATACAAACGACAATTAGAAAAAAAAAATACAAGTTTCTCGAATTTTTTTGCGCAATCATTGCAAAGTTATGTTCGTTTTGAGTCATGCTTTAGGGCATATCCTCATTGTTTTCGAAGATTATCAAGCAACAGGATGGACGCAGTCTTTTACGCAACGACACATATATATTTTATATTTCGCTTCTTGTTCAAATAGCCTATTTTCTATGAGCAGATAAAGTAACGCCAATTTCTCTTCAGTCGGCTAGCCGAAACATTCACATACAGCCATTGATATAAGCTTCCTTTGTCAACCAAATCAAAAATCGCAAACTGAAGATCATTGGGCCCTGCAACAATGGTAAAATCGAAACGAAATAAGTCACCTTGTCAAATCATAGGTGTCCTGCAGTTGTCCCCGCCTGCGATGCGTCACGTTTTTATGTTCGAAGTTTAGACCGTTAACCACCCGCGCACCCTTACGCACTTGTAACATGCAAAGAAGAACGAATAACAGACTGAACGAGAAGATGACTGGTGTGTCAGAAACGTAGACAGTTACTCCGATTATCTACTGCAGATCACAAAGCACACTCATACAAAGTATCCTGGAATCAGCTCCGAACGCGTGTCACGAAACGATGCTGCTGACAGAGATCAATTCTTTGCTCCGGTTAACCGTACCCACGGCGCTAAGCTGACAATCAGCGCTAGCTTTTAAAAACGAGACAACTGATGAGCGCTGCGCACGACATACGCCTGCTTGGAGTAGGCAGGGTTAACTTCATCTGATTATAGTACGAAGCAGCGAACAAATCGAACACAGCAGTAAATCTTATGGGAGAAATCGTCTCGTCGAAGTATCTTTGTTCAAGTTAAACTTAGCACAAATGGTTCTAGGAGGAACCAATAGGTGCCGTATTTATTGACGAAGCACAATTGATGTGACTGAACGTAGGTTTCTAGAAGATTGCTATAGCAGTGAGCGGAAAGATTAAGGACGCAACATATCCCTTTTTGTGTGGCAAGATACCATCTTTCGTGACCGGCGGGATTCCTAAAAGCTCTGAGCATAATATACGAAGCGTGGAAGCCTTCTAGCGCCATCTAGAAAATCGACGTTAAAGAGAAGTAGTCGATAATGAACCCCATCGCCAAATGACAGCTGTGATCCTAATGAGAACTCAACAAATATTTGATGTATTGAATGAATTAATAGGACTTAATACATTTTTAACTATTACTATGTCATACACGTGATATCCCCTTACGTTGTGCCTGCTGCAAAGAGAGGTGCAGATCTGCGCATCGGGTCTTCTTAAAAATGCACAACTTATAGGTAAGACAAAAAGCAAACAACTCAATGGGGCAGTGCCGATGCCCGCTGATAAATAGACGATGAGACTCATGGAAGAGCTCGCAAGTTCGTATATTATGGAACTGGCTATGAGGGCTTGGGATAAAAGCATTGTGGTACAGAGACGGAAATCAATCGTCATGAGAGGTGAACGCAGGCTCCTATAACGCAACAATGCGACTGATTAGTGAATACGTAGAAAAATATTGGTTTTGGATTCACTATATGGCACATATAGTGTTAAATCGTTGTAGCTTCATGCATACGGTACAAGGACCGATATCACTCGCCCTGTGGAATGTTCATAAAGCCTAGCTATGGTTTTGAAGCTATGCAAATATGCTACGTACATACGTTTACAGACAAAGATTTTCATCGTTGAAAAATACAGTCGCCTGAAGTTTACAGGCTAGGTCTACTGTGGACAGGGGAAAGGAGGAGCTCGTTGTTTTAGACGCGCGGACATGCCCCCATGTGGTGCGTTCGGTACGCAGAATACGATCACATTTGTATTTAAAACGTGACGCAGTTCAACTTAACTCGGTAATGTCAGCTGCTAGACCGAACAATTGAATTTTTCATATTATTGTTTCGTTTTTTTAAAGTTGAGTGTGGCGTCTTCGGGCAATTCATCACCTGTCTGGTTGACGTTCTAAGAATCGAACAAAGTCGCTATTAATATTAGAAATGTATGCATTTATAATGTTGGCCCAGGTTGCTTGCTTCTCAGCCGGTAAACAGCACGTACCTGAAGTGATGAGCGCTCGCAAGTTCACGCGACGCGAAGATATAGTTCTATTTGTATTCACGACGAAAAAACGGGTAACTATGTAATAGCAACAAGTTATTTTCTATGCTGATGATGTTAGCGATACGATCACCTTTTAGATGTCCGAGGGGCTAGCTCGAGGGCGTGCTTATATTTTCTAGAGGTATGAAGGCTGGACTCCCCAGTGCTCTTCTTCGTTGAACTGCACTTTGAAGATGCAATGCTCTAAACCGACTAAGTTATTTCGTTGTAAGTTACTATTAATCATGATAGGTTCCACTTACCGTACGAACCCGAAGACGAAAATCGATGAGCTTAATGCGGCGGTACTAAATAACATCGCTTAAAATGGAAAATAGAAAATAATAAATATATGTGTGCTCCTTTGACTCTGGCTTGTTGTTTTGGGGGAACGACAGATCGTAAGCTCGAGCGAGTGGATGCTCAGTTGTTGGTTGGTTCGTCTTTAATACTAAACTCAATAGTATAAGTAAATATACATTTTTCGCTACGCTCAACCAAAGTTTTGTTTACATACCTATGTGCTCGTAGAAAGGAAGGTTGGGCCGAAAAATTGATGCAAATGTGTGATTACATTGGCATTGAGTTGTGTGCTTTCGTTAACAGCTATTTCCTGGCAGTCATAACCACTCAGGTAGCTATAAAGAGAATTATTGATAATACTACGTTCGGCGTTACGTCATAACATCTGTATTTTTTTACGTTTCTATAATTATTGAGCCTGTCTCTTAATATAGTGAGATTTTTTTTAGTCTTTTATCAAAAAGTTGAGTTTTGACTCTTTTAAATAATAAACTGTTCACCAATACATTCCTATTCGTCATGAATAGCTGTCATTGAACGAAGTAACCTAGTACGACCCAGCTAGCACGAAATCGGGTTATTCTTTATCGGGTTATTTAGATAGTCCAGAGAAGTTTGCTGGTCAATAATCAATAATGTAGAGGCAGGTCCGGGACATCTAATGTAGGCTGTTAGAATTGTTACTATCTTCAATGGCCACACCTCTTGTAAAATATAAACAGTTCTTCTATTTGTGTTCACGACGAAAAAACGGGTAACTATGTAATAACAATAAGTTATTTACGTTCGAAAGGCGAAGCTAAGACACATTTACTTGTTCTGTATATCATGGAAAACTCGCTGAAGCGCTCTTCTGCTTGATCAAACGTGAGCACCACATCTACAC